CCTTGATATCTAATATTAGTTCTGGATCTAGTGCTGTTTCCTCACGTTGGTACCACTTGTATCTTAGATATATCCGAGGTTCTATACAGATCGCCCTCTGTATGGATAATGCCCTCACCAGCCCCTCCACCTTCTCAATGTGGGATTTTAGCTAAAGTAGCAGTGGATGGTAAGTATATTTTGGAAGTTAACATTTTCTTCAATTGGAAATGTATTTCCAGTAATATTTACCTCTGCTGACACTCTCCAGACCTTCCTCCCAACTAAGAGCCGGTGTTAGTATTAGGAATGACTTAAGTCTTGAAAAAGTGATTACGCTATCTGAATGAGGTGCTTATATACAGTACCTGAATAGAGGATGCATTAATGTTGATGGAGAACTTTGCAAATTAGATATTGCCAAGGGCATTCAAGTGGGGTATAAAAGACTGGAGCAAGTGAGTTCAATGTTTAGATGGGCAAAGAGGTAGAAACCTTGAAGATTAAGAAATAGCTGAAGTGTCAGCAGAGGTAAGTATTACTGGAAAAACATTTTCAGTTTAGGAAAATGTTAACATTAAAACTTGTATTAGAATTTGAAGTAATAGCTACTTTTTCATACCAAATTTATTGATATAAATTGATAATATAGTTCTTTACTTAAATTTTAAATGTAACTTTGAAGTGGTTGTGACATGTGCACTTAGACTCATCTGGGCAAGAGGATTAATATAGAAGTCTTTAAGAAAACCTTAAAGTAGGTTTGGGTGTTTCAAGGAGCTTAATTGAACATTAGAAATGCATTCTGTATGTTAAAGCAGGATTAAATATATTTTAGGGAGATTGGTTTAGGTGTAAGAAATGCATACTTTATGTTAAACCAAGACTGAATGAATGTTTCAGGGAGAAAACAGAGAAGATCCCCTACCTAGTTGGTTGTATTGCAGAACTCACAGAGGAAGAAGAATCTCAGCTGCTGCAGCCTGGAAAGAATGACTTTAGTGTCATGTATTCTTGTCGAAAGAACTGTGCTCAGTTGTGGCTTGGACCAGCTGCTTTTATTAATCATGATTGCAGGCCTAATTGCAAGGTAATCTTTTATTCTGTCACATGGCACAAAGCAGGTGTCAAAATACCAAAGGGTCAAAACCTCCATTATCCCCAACAGTAAGCCTTTCTGCTTCTCATTATTTCTTGACTTCCTATTGCAGTACTGCTACACTGCATTTCAGATTTGACAGCAAAAATTGCTGATGATGTACCTATACTTCCAGGCTTAGAAGAATAATATTGAATCTGCTTGATTCTTAGAACAGTGAAATTCAGAAAAGTTCTTGTCCTCTTCATAATTTTGTTTGTCTGACTGAAGTTAACAGTTAATAAAGCTATTTTTACAAACTGATTTAGTGAGAATTTGTATAAATTGTACTGTTATCTATATAAATATAATAGTACTGTCTGTTGTATATCCATGTAACTACTTTGCAGGGTGTAGATGGATCTTCACCAAATTTGTTATGGAAGTTCATTGTGTCCATGGGGAGATACATACAGATTTTCAGTTTTGTGGTTTTTATGGGCATTTTTTTTTACAACTACTTCACCCCCTGTTGATGGATCTTCACCAAATTTGGCATGAGGGTTTGTTGAGTCTGTGGAGAAATGCATACAAATTTTCAGTTTTGCATTTTATGGTTTTCATGGGCATTTTTTACCACTACTTTTCTTCTCTGTAGATGGATCTTCACTGAATTTGGCATGAAGGTTTGTTGGGTCTTCATGGAGATACATGCAAATTTGTGGGTTCACATTTTGTGTTGTGCAGTTTTTATAGGCATTTTTTGCATTTTATTTTTTATAATCACATATAAGGGAAGCAACTTTTCATGTCTTAAGATTACCTTTCATTAATCATGAATTTACATAACTTCCATCCAAGGGATGGGTACTCCAGCTAGTATCTAAATAAAATAACATGCAGAACCAGATTTTATTGCTTATTATTGATCAAGAAGTTATTTTATATACCCAACTAATTGTAATTTCTGTGATTCATTAACATATCTATTTTTATGATATTCTTCTTTTGGTTTGGTTTTTTGCTCATTAAAACCATTTTGTAGCCCAATTAAAAACCACTTTTGCACACATTCAATAATAACTTCAACTGTCATTAAAGAGTATACTGTAGGACATTGTGCTTCTAAAATTACAGGATTTATTGAAGTATAGAAATATTCCTGGAGCTAACAAAAATAAATAATATGAAAATTGCCTATTAATAACAAAACATCATGATTACTTTGAAAATTGCTAGAATCAACTTTCAGGTATGGCTTTTCAAGACCACCCACAATTTGAAACTTGTAATGTCCAAGCTTCTTTTACAAATGATTGGTAAGTTGTTTACATTGTTTTAAAGCTTAACTTCTACCATTTAAAACCAACTTTTCACATTCAATCATCATCAGCCAATTTTATTTGTCCAAGTTGAGTAATCTGGTGATTATGTACACCCTGAAATCCAAGTATCTCAGTATCCTGGCATTTGACAATTCAGTTGGGACCTAAATTATGCTACAGGCCTCCTGGACCCCAGTAATCAGGTCTGTAATCCGTATTTTGCTAGATGTGTGTGTTAAATAAGTTGTAGTTAATAATTTAGATCCTAACATAGGATGAGAGTGGTAATTACTGTTGTAACTTATGATCTACCAAAATTGTTTAATGTTGACTTTGGATAACTTTGTCCAATTATGTTCATCCAATTTTTATTAGAAAATTTCCTAAACTTTGTCTTAATGAGAACAAAGTCAATTTTTGTCTTGTGAATATTTTTTTCTTATTTTCAAACATTTAACATTATGTGAGGAGAATTGGAAAGTATTCTACTTAACTCTTTCACTGGCACATTTATAGATAAAAAAAAAGTCCTCCTGTACCAGGTTTATTTTTAGATCTACAACAGAAAAAATAAATATGTTTCATTAGTTACCTTAAACTGCTAAACTATGGGAATTTGAATGGGAAATACCCTTTACTACAAGCAGGTATAATATTCCATTCGTATAGCAGTGAAAGAGTTAAATTGTTTATCTCCTACCTAAAATAATGTAAAATTGATATTTATGCTCTTTAATTTTTTCTTTCTTTCCTTCCTCTTTGTTCTAGTTTTGGTAGATCTTTAAAAAAACATTTTTAATTATTCCTAGTTTGTATCTACTGGCCGAGACACTGCATGTGTTAAAGTTTTAAGAGATATAAATGAAGGAGAAGAAATCACATGCTTTTATGGAGAGGATTTTTTTGGAGATAATAACTGTTACTGTGAATGTGAGACATGTCGAAAGGTAAGGATAGATCTTCTCATTTATTATACATAGAATTGTAAACATTATTCATAAAGCAGACTACTGATAATTGCTATCACAGACATCC